AAATCCGTGACCTATATATACATGCATCACTAAAAGAATTTTGAGAATAGTTTTAAATTTCATGAAGAATTAATTTACGTCAATTTCTTCATAGGTTGAAATTTCATCTAAAACCATCGGTATATCCAAAGGTTAAGTCTATTTCAGGTCAAGAATATTCTATTTGACATAATATATTTTCATTTATTTTAAAAGAGTAATCTTTCACGTTTTCAAAAGAATAAGGACAACTGGGTGTTTGCACAATGTAGTAAATCTGTTTTTCATATTTCTTCCAGTAATGAAAACGATTACCCTGGAAAATATTATCAAAGCAAAAAAAAAACCGTTTACGCCAAATTTGCATAAAGTATCTTCTCGTTTTTTTTTTATTTAAGTGTGAATTTCTCTTGAAATATCAAAAATCATGAAGGAGCAAAGAATTCAGAGAAAACTTTGAAATGCTAATTCCATCGTAATATGAGACAGTGGAGAAAGTGCAATACATTTTTATTCACAAATAATCCCCCCTCTATGCGTAATTATGTATGTCGTGAGAAATATAGTTAGTATATTAAACCAGTTATTTCATACTTTTCCGTTATCAAGATTTTTACGGGCTCTTCAGAACGGTAAAGGTGGCTGAACACTTGTAGTCGCTTGGGTTTGAATCCTGGCAATAGTTGGATTGTGTTTTTTGTGTAAAATGCAGCCAGCTCGCTTGAAGGGCCCGCGAAGGCATAACTCTCCTTATACAGGTAATTGTGTGTGCTTTGAGAATTCAGTAAGCGAACAAATTTAAACCAATCAAACCCGAAGAACGATTGATTACATGTGGAGTTTCACCAGGAATAAATGCGGCAATTCTCTTAAAGGTTTACACAAAGCATCCATCCCCTTAAGCAGATAGCGGTGTGCTTTCCATAATCCAATCCTAATTTTCATACATTTAATAGTAAGTTGACATACACCTTATTACAGACAAAATAACAACCTGTTTTAAAGATTTTTTTTTTATTAACTTGTCTGAATTCCCTTTATCTCTGAGGATAAGAATTTCAGCAAAAAAACTGGCCGAAATTTTACAATGTAACTGATGTTTGGGATTCATTTAGAAGTAATGTGAGCTTACTGATATTAAATACTTTTTGGGATCATCCTAAAAGAGGGTCTAAAGAAATTGATTTTATTAGTTTACAATCAATGAAACCATGAAAGCAATCACTGAAGAAGAATCACAAAAACTATTAGGCATAAAGGGTCTATTAGCTCCTGATAAAGACAAATTGGAGAAGCCTCTGAAAAGCAGGGTTTTATGCACTCCCAAAAAAAAAATGCAAAATAAAAGTATTAGAAAAGAAGTACGAAAAAGCTTTACCTATTTCTAGAAGGGCATTAAATCTAAAATATTAATCTATCTTATTGTTTATGATTAAAAAACATAAAGATGGTAACTTAAAAGCGGCAAAATCGCTGACTTTTTGAAGCATAGCAAAAGGCAGGACTAAAAAAATTAGCATTAAAATTATGAGACAGATTAAAAGAGATGGCCTCTATTGATTTCAAGTATTGGCACAAAACGAACCTGCGGTTTTTTCAAAATGACCAAACAGATAAGAAGAAGGAATATTGCGTAGCCCGCGGCAACTCTGAGCAGTGACAATGACTACCCAAGCTACAGATAGGCGATTCTCTAAAATGGGGACGGCATGGATGGTACGACAGTTGTACCAATGCCGGCGTCTGAGAAACTCATTCTCCTGGTACAACAGCTGTACCAGCTGGCTTCAGAAATTTAAGAAAGCACTAAGAACACTTTATAACAGTTATAATTTTTGATAATGATTCTAAAATGCTATTAGTATAACTAAACATTAGAAGCTGCAAAAAAGTTATAACAAACAACAAAATGTTTTTTTATTCATCTTTTTAACTTGAAAATTTTCCATATATTTTAACTAATTTATGTCAATTTCCTTCTTCTTAGCACCTTTTCAAAGTTTATTTATTTCAATAAACAAATAAACGTTCCCACTAGTTTCCGTTTTATCTTCTAATATTTTAACAATGTACTTCTGAAGAATAATTTTCTCCATCTTTTTTTTAATAATATGAGTATTAAGAATAAATATTAAATGATAGGTCTGGCTGGTCTAGGCTGGTGCCACAGCCAGTTTGGCAAAATTTTTTAGAATTTAGTGAAGCACTGAGATACAAAATTTAGGGAAAATTGGAAAAGCAATCTACTGTTGCTAAAATCAGTATTTTCAAAGTATAGTAATAGTAAAGTTACTTTCCAAATAAACCTTGTATGTATATTAGATTTAACTGTAACAGAATAATACATTTATTTTAATTACATATTTTAACTACTTACCAAGTAACCGTAAGTTCAACATAGCCTTTCAGATTTCCTTTACTATTACACGTTTTACATTTTACTTGTCCTGATCCACTGCAGTGGAAACATCTATAATATTAAAAACAAACATGTAAAAAAGGCCACACATATTTCCATGTATCTTTATTTAACAATTTAGCATGGATAATACTGTCTGTCTATAGTAAGAACAGCTTTCGCCAGTTTGTCTGCAGCTGTCTGTTACCGTAAAAACGAGCCCTTACCCATTTTTCGTAGGGGAGTCTTGAAGATTTACTTCTCAGTTTGCCACCTTGGCGCATTTAAAGATGATTTGGCGATATTCACATTTTGTTTTAGTTTCAAGTAAAATGCTCGTTGACCCTTTGCATCACCCCCCGACATCCCATTCTGAAAAGTAAATTCAATGGCGTAGATAAAGCTTTTTGCAGTCCAAGAAATGGCCTTTGATTTTTGCCGTGTAGGCAAGTTGCGATTTGCCATGCTTCTAGATGTCTAGTAAAAATATATCAAAATACTTGTGGGAAAATTTAAAAATCCTTCCTATTTTTGAAAAAAATTTTAATTTTACATGAAAAAAACTCATGCTTATTTGCTTCTTTTTTTTTATTTGTTTGCTCTCTTTCTTTTCAGGTGTATTTAGAAGTTTATTTCACCCATTGTTGATACTTCGTGCTAATTTTTAATTGTATACTCCGAGACTCCGTAGCTTGCGATGTTCTCTTCAAAACTTGAGGAGGAACTACTAAAGAGTTTGCCGAAGCTCAGAAGCGCAAAATTCTGCAACATTGACCGATTTGACGTGCCTGAGACTTATATACGCTAACTTTCTTAAATTGGAAGGGAATTTAAAAAATTGGTGATTAACAAAGCACGAAAATCAAGCTAAATAGAAGAAAATTTGAACAAATATCAGTACAAAATATATAACAACGAGAATAAAAATAGCTAATAGTAATAATATAAGACTTAAGAAAAGATGCGTGCAGCTGGAATGAAACCGAGAAGACGAATGATAAACCCTTCAGCCAACAATCACCCAAAACAAAATAACAATAAAGCAACTCTGGGTTCATCCCTATTTGAAATATACTAGCCCTGTTGCTCCACCCGCCAGACACCATGGCGGGAGCTGTTCTTACCGTAGACAGACAGTATCTTTCAAATAGCTTATATACATGGTGGTCATAGAAAAATGAATTTCTAGCAGTATATCTGCTCAACCAATCAAAGTGAAATCTCAGATACTGTTATTTAAAGGCAGTGTTTGAAATTGTGATGATTTAAAACAATAAGAGCTCTCATGGTTATGGTTACAGTGAAAGAATTTCAAAATTATCTAATAGCAACACCCACGTTTTTCCCGGGCAAATTGATTGGCTTAATGAAAACCATAAATGGCATTGAAAAGATATATGTATAATGAAATTGCCTGCCTAAAATATCTGCAAAGAGCATCCATTATAAATGACCAATGACAACAAAACAGAGGAAAGAGAAAAAAGCTTTTACTGAAATTACAAGTTTTTAATGTTTCTATTGCAGTCAAATGCATGCAGAAGATTTTTGACAACAATAATGAATGTAACATTGCAGAAGGAATCTGCATAACTTCTTCATTTATGGCATCTTCTAGCTCTGACAAATCTTGCAGATTTGATATGTACACCTTATATATCAGATAACCTCAGAAACAGAAATCCACTGGTGTTAGGTTGGAGGATCACAATGGCCATGGAACTCCAAAATTATGGGAGATGATGCTTATCTCCAAAGTGCTATTGCAGCTCTTGCTTAACACATGTGGCGACACGTGGAGGAGCACTATCTTGAATCTATACAATATCATAAATGACATTTTGATGTTGCAATTCTGAAATTACATAATTTTACAACGCTGTACTATACTGAGCATTAATGATAGAGCATGTGTTTATACCTATGGAAGTGACCTCTTTGAAGAAGTATGGACCGTGAACAAATATGCTGGCGATGCTGCACTACCAAAGAGTCACTTTAGTTTCATTTAAAGGTGTTGGTGCCATATCATGAGGATTTTTTCAGCAGTTCTTGGAGTTTATATTATTCCCAGTTACCGAGAAATGCACCTCATCCATCCATAATATCTGCAAGTTTGTCAAAAAAATCTACATACCCTCCCCCTTCCGCAACAAAAGACCGTTTCATTTAGAATATTCAAGATATATATATTAAAATACGGTGAATTGTCCACTTTTAATTAATATAGCTAAGCTATATGGAACCAATTCCATAATATTCCATGTATATATTGTTTGCTCTACACAATACAGTGTATATGTTCATTAGATGATACTGGGTATGTGTTACACAATATTTCAAGACAATATTGTGTATATGTTGTTTGTTCATGCATAAAAAGATATATTTAATGATTCACCTTCATACATTATTTTAAAAGATAATAGATAATTCATAGAAATTTGAGGATTGTCTTACCGATCAAAGCCGGTCCCATTGCAAGAAGTGCATATATCGTTCTGTTCCCTCCTACCACGTCCTTTACACCATGTACACTGACGCTAAAAAGAAACAGTATTTTAATAAGCTCAATTATTTAGAGCCACAATATAAAAAAAAATAAAAAAAAGTACAAGGCTATTTTAAATTTACAAAATTGCAACTGCATAATACACTGCAAAACTTTCATAAACTGGCAGAATATTAAAATTTAATTTTAAAATAAGTCTCAATTACCACATTAATTTTTAACAATTTATCTGACATCTCATTAGTATGAATCTTCTACTGTACACACAAACTACACCACCCTCCAAACGTTAAGGAACAGTATGTGTTTTTGTGTCTAATTTGAGATTGAAGCAACACAGAAACAAGAAATTTAGAGGACATGTTGTTCACAAAACAAACATTTCGTCAATAAACGCAGCATAGAATGTTTCGAAAGTTCAACACAAATCTGAATTACAACAAAAAATTACACTATTGGCAGAGAAATCGTCTAGAAGAAACAGTACATCACAGTTTTTTTAGTAAAAAAACATGGCGGTAACATAACAAAAATGGGTTCTAATAATAAATGTGTCTACCCCAGCTGCAATACATTGGCAGCAGCCACGTTCCATGCTGTTAATTAAGTTGTTGATAAATGAAAAGGAAAGAAATGACTAGACACAGAGTAATCCTTGCTCAAGGTCTATCTAACAACCTTCGAGGAGGAATTTAAGTAACAACCTGTCTCCAAGGTAGTCAGTCCTAAAGATCTTGGTAGTCGGATTCAAGTCTGGGGATTGAACTGGCCATTCCATCTGCTCCATGTCATGGCCCTTAAGACATTCTTCAGCAACCTGAGCTCAGTGCAGTCACATACTGTCATCCATTAGAAGAAATGCAGGCCCAATCGCAGCAGCATATGGGCAGACATACTGATCAAGGACTTCATCTCTATATCTCACACAAGTCAAAGTTCCTCTACGGAACACGTGCAGGTTAGTGTGACGGCCGGCAGATTTCCAGCCCAAACCATTATTCCACCACCTCTGTAACTGCTTCTTTCCACTATGTGGGATTGTGTGCATCTGGTGTGTTGCTCCCTCCAGATCAGCTGATGACTTGAATCACTCTCCAATGTGAGCCTGGACTTGTTTATGAAGAGAACAGATGCCCATTGTTTACTGGTCCAGGGTATGTGTTCCCTTGCTCAACATAAATAGGCACCTCTATGTCCTTGGGTTAAGATGATACAAAAAACTGGCCATCTTGCAGACTTACATTGTACAACAGTCTGCACACTGTAGTAGGTGAGATTCTTGTTATTGTTGTTACTAAATAATCTGCAGTGAGCTCATGCACAGTAATGTTGCTCCTCCTTCAGGCCAAAAGAGATAAATTACAGTCTCCTGCAGGTGTTGTAACTCTTGTCTGCCTGGAACATGTCTTCTACACAGAGAAGCCTCAGATTCAAATTCATTCCATAGTTGATGGACAACAGTACGAGAGACATTGAGATGTCTAGCAGCATCCGCTTGCAACATCCTCATTTCCATTCATCCGATCGCTTGCCACCTCAACGAATTGGGCAAATGACTTCTCCTGGACATTGATAGACCCTCCTGGATAATGTCAATAAAACTAAAGATCAAACACTCATGAAAAAAACTTACAATTCTGCATTTTTTTCTCCAACTCTATATAAGTATTAATTTCTATAAAATCAAAGTGGTAGCTATTGTTTTTGCATATATTTTCTTAAACTTCATTACTATCATGCATATAAACTATGAATTTAAACAACACTGACATTTTTGTAATGGTAAGCTTTGAAAAACACGCTGTTCCTTAACTTTAGGAGGGCAGTTAACATACTTGAATTTAAGTTACTACTGAATACTGAAAAGTCAACATACTTGAATCGATAGTATCAAAAGTATTTGAAGAATACAATTTTTTATTTGGTATGCATCAGCTTACAGTCATGACCTTGGCCAAAAATAAGAATTTCAAGGTTTCAGTTTTGCAGAGAAATGGTTATCACCCATCTTCACATGTGCATATAATTTACATTTCCTACATGCACAGAGTCTATGTTTCTTCATCTAGTGAAAATCTTTTCAGTTCTTTTATTGCAAAACATAAAATATGCTTACTATTTTCAACCTTACATTGACGGAAAAAGATGCTGTAGTTTTTCCAGATTGAAAACTATTCTACTGTTCATAGAAATTGCCATCCTGACAGGCATACATGTTAGCAACACTGGTTGCTGTATCACTGGGCCTGAGTTTGAATCACGAAGAAGACTTAATTGTTTGTAAGTGTAAAGTGTGTTGGAAAGAGGAAGCATTTAAAATACTGGTAAGACAAAGTCTTTTTATAACCAGGATGCCAGAATTCTATTAGTGTTAACAGTTGATTAAGAAAGCTTCTTCATTAAGAAAGAAATACTATGTACACAAAAGAACACTTGAGTTCTAGTTATTTTTAATTACGAAACACAATTAAGGACATCACAGCTAGGGACATAAAATTTATACGTACAAAACTTTTAAGGTAAGAATATTTTAAACATTCAAGTTACATACTAACTCTCACGGCAGAATACCATGTTTAACTAGTTGACTCTAACATACTGACTGAGAAGGCATTATATCTTAGGCCGTGATCCCATCTGATGGTTGCTATGTGGCATGCTTGAAAGTTATGTGGTTACAGACTCCCTCTCCGGCTCGTACCACATTCTCACTATCTTGAATTGGATTGGATTGGATTATTCAATTATGGCAAAGCACACAATGGGCTATCTGTTTACAGGGAGGGACTGCCTTTGGGGTAGACCTTTCTAAGGGAAACTGGCTTGTATACAGGTTACACATGAAGAAAACCACAAAAATGCCCATGCAGCCAGCCTCTTTGTGGGATTCGAACCTTGGACTGAACATCCAGTGTTCGGCGTCTTTACCACTCGGCCGCTGATGAGCCTCAATATCTCTTGAAAAGGGCAGTTCATAAGCATGTAAGACTGAGCTGTGGTAAGTCCCATGGACTTCATTTGTGTTAGCTAGGTCAGCAATGTCACACATAGTCAGTTGGTGATCACTAAATAAGATCCTTCATATTTAGACATGAATTTTCAACTTTTTTTATTTTGTGAGCTGCTAATAGGATGTAGTGTGACCCATATTCTGTCACTTGGTTTGCAGAAAGACTTTAGTCATTGATGATCATAGTATGCTTTTTGCTTCTTTTGTTCCTGCTTGACATAGTCTTCAATCTCTGCAGTTAACCAGGCAAATCTCTGGAGACATGGAGGAGTTATTTCAGCCATGAAGTTATCATTGTCGATTAGTGTTCCTATGTTATGGGTAACATCATCTGTTGTTCTTGATTCTCTATCAAACTGCAAAAAAGCTGCTGCATGTTTAGTGTTATCAGTGTTCATTAAAACACAAATCCTAGGCAGTTTTTCTTCCCAGAAGTCGTGTTCATCTCACATCTGTAAGCGAGACAGGGTTTTAGATCCCTATTCTTACGTTTAGATGGGTTTGCTTAGAGATGAAACACAGAAATAAGGTCTTGCTTAATTTTGAGAACACTGCAAGTTTTTCGCATAACGGCACTTATGAATTGTGGCCCGTTATCACTAATCTACATGGAAGTCTATATTGTAGAAAGACTTCTTCCACTAACATTTTGGTGCAGTTTACAGCTGTTGCTTCTTCAAGCGCAAACAGTTCTACCCACTTTGTACTGATATCTTCTATGGTAAAACTTCATTTCTTACCAGACGAGGTATCTGGAAGAGGTCCAAAAAAATCAATAGCCACAGTTTCAACCTTGTGGGCATAAATTGGAGTTCTAAGAAGACTGGATGGCTTCTGATTAGTTGGTTGGTATCAGTTACATTCTGGACAATTTTCAACATATTCAGAGATTTATTTGCACATCCCTGGAAAACAGTATCTACAGGAAACTTCACTGAAAGTTCCTTCGGCCCTATAGTGTCCAGCAAATGGAGCATCATGGTGCTATTGTAGCACTTGTTTCTTTCGTGGATAATTTAGGAACTACGAGTTGGGTTTCCTCTGTTTCTACTTCAGGTAAGTAACGATACAGAATACCATGATTAATAAGGAACCCCTACTAATTCAGTTTACAAAGTTTTCATCTTTTGAAGACTTGATACTAATAAGCCATTCTAACGGTTGGTGGTCAGATGCTATAATTATTTCTTGGTTTTCGATGTAACCTCAAAATTTTTCCACAGCCTGAACTACTGCAAGTGCTTCATGTTCAGTAGTGGAGTAATTTTGTTTGGCTGGAATGAGCAAACAACTGCCACACTCAATAATGTGTTCCTTTGGGCTTTCTCCTTGAGTAAGAACTGCTCATAGAACATAGCTGCTACCATCTGTGTGGATACAAAACAGCTTTGAACCATCTGGTTGTTATAACACCAGTGGTATTATTAATCTTTTCTTCAATTCTTCAAAAGCTTTTTGTTGTTCAGGACCTCAAATCCATTGTACATTCTTTTTTGTAAGGTTACTAAGTGACCTTGCAATGTTCACAAAGTTTGGAACATACTTCCTAGTCTTGCAAGGACTGAACTTTCTTCAAACTGCTTGGAATAAGGATTCTCTGAGTTGAGGAAACTTTTTCAGGATCCACTTCAATTCTATTTATGGTTATCCAGTGACCTAAATATTTTGCTCCACATGCAAAATGACATTTTTCTCTGTTAGCATGCAGTTTAAACAAAGAAAGGCTCTCGAAAACAATTTGTAAGTTGCTTATATGCTAGTCAAAAGTCTTTGATAATGACATCGTCTAAATAAGACACAGCAAACACACCTTTTAGGTCTGCTCTAAATCTGTCAATCAGGCATTGAAAAGTTGCAGGTGCATTTCGTAATCCGAAACGTATGCGTAAATACTCATATGTCCCAAATGGGCAAATGATGGCTGTTTTATCTTGATCAACTTCATCTATTTTGACCTGATGATACTCTGATTTAAGATCGATGGTTGACATATAGGTCGTTGACTTCTGCGAGATCATCCATGTGTGATAAGGAGTATGTGTCTGCAATAGTAGTGGCATTTTGTTTGCGACTCTCAATGCAAAGTCTTGTGTTGCTCTTTGGTTTAGGCAATAATACAACAAGACTGGCATATGGAGATTCACATTCTTCAATTATACCACTAGGCAGGAGAGAATCTAATTATTTTTTTTTAACAATTCTCATTTTGCAGGATTCATTCTGTAAGGAAGTTCTGCAACTGGTGGATTGCTTCTGATATTAATGCAATTTTCACTATATGGGGTTGGCTCTCTTTCCTGGTTTGAAGGAATTCTTGAATTTTTGCAATAAGCAATTTAGTTGATTGTATGTAAATGTGTACCTTCGTCGCTTTGAAGATTTCCTAAAGAGGATGTTTGAAAACTTCACCTAAAATGGAAATTTCTGCAATTTTCATCCGTGTTCATAATTTCCTCTTTGAGTTGAATCACTTTCAAATTATCTGAGATGGGCAGATCTAGTTCTGTGCCTAACACTTGTTGATCTTTTTTTCCTACATAATCCCCAAAACACCATATTATCATACTTTCATTGTCCATTGAAAAGTTCATTCTTTAGAAGAAAATTAAATGTTCATAAATTTTATGCATTTCTTAGCTGCCCATGACACAACTGCATAATATTTGAAAAACTAGCATCAAATAAAAGCATTAATTTGATATTAACTCAAAAACAAAATAACATTTTACAGGGCTTGACCCATTAGCTAATATGCAATAAAATATAAATGCCCAAATTTATTAAATATAAATTTAAAAAAAATTAATTTGATAAGTCTTCCATTTTTAATGCATTTGATGTTTACAAAATTCTAAATGTTCTAAGAAATTAATTTCTGCTATAGTTTTCTTTGAAAAACATAATCTGTAAAACATTTTCAAATGATACAAAATAATAATTGCAAAATTTTATAAACAGATAAGCAGAAAATGCAGTAATTAATTCAAAAGAAATATTGACTAAAAATAATACAGAAATAGTTTAAATAATATCGATAAAATCCTTTTCCCTTAATTATTTCTATTCTCAAAGAACAAAACAAATAAAAACTCCATTAGTACTATTCATAAAGTAAAATAAACACATAGCTCATGCATGTTATTTCAAAACTGCATTAAAATAACATGTAAAAAGAGAATCCAGAGTATATAGTTGCATTTCAGATTTTTCACATCAATCACATTAATCAATCAAATTCCCACAATGAAAACATGGAAAAAGGTATGGACATAAGGAATCTACCTGACTCAATGCATTTAAAATGATGGTGATATATTAAATGATTTTTTTTTCATTACTCAAAAGTACTAGTCTCGCATTTTTTACTAACCTCCAATGACCAATTGTAACACATCCCCTCATCATAATGTCTGTCATAATCTATGTCATCATAATCTATGTCTTCGCTTTTTGACAAGCTCACTCGCTGGCTTCCAGATTATGGAAGGCAAAAGTGTGTGTATGGCTAAGATAATGTAAGGCAAGAATGACTAAGAGAGTGGATGTTCGCCAAATATGTCAGCGAAAGACCAAATATTTAATTATATTCTTATACAATCATAATATCACCGTTTGTTCTTGTAATAAATAAGATTGTATAAGGTCAATTACTTAATTAAATAAATTCATTATTGGTATTATTTTTTCTCATTCAGAATGTAGCATTCTTTTTTATGTTCAACGGTTTATTTACATGTGCTGTTACTTAAGCTTTTTCCTATTTTGACATATATGAAAATAAGTTTTAATAATGATTTAGAAACATAACAAAAATATTTTTATTCAGCATTCACCATTAGTGCATGGCAAATGTTGACATTTGCAGGGGTGAGAAATAAGGATATTTAGCAAATATTCTGGAAATACACCAAGTGATTATGTGAATGTTGACATTCATTGGAGAATGACGATATCCTCCAGATTCCCTCTTTCACAGTAACATATACATTGATTTCATTTTACGTAATCTTATTATTTAGAATAGCAATATTGCTTTTATAATACTTCGAAGCTAGCTGAAATTTTATGGGTTAATTTATATAACTTTATAAAGTTAACATTTTTGACTTGCAGAAGAATTATTATTCTTATTAGAAAATAATACTCTTGATCAAATATTTAATTCATAAAATTACTTGTAAAAAGAATGCAATTTATACATAATTTATGACCTGCTAAACAGAATCATACAAAATGCTACATATATAAAATGATTTGATCAAATTAACTACATTTAATAAATAGGCTTTAATACACTGCCTTTAAAAAATTTGTTTATTTTTTTAACTCACATGAAGCTCACTTGTTCTAGATCATAATAATTAGGAAGTTAAAAGGCTAGTAAAGATTTGAAATACTCTAATCTAATCAAATGTTAGCCAAAATACATTGGTTGTAATGTATGCTGCACTATGAATTAAAAAATCTTATTATACCCGCCCATTTCCATGGCATGTTTCACAACGAACTCTCCCATTTCCAACGCAAGTATGACATGGTTTCACAAACGCAGTGTGAGGAACTTCTATTTTGGCTTTTGAATCTGAAAACTCCTTGGGAGGAAGGGCCACAACATCCCATGGTGCAGGAGCAGGTCCATTCATTGGCCCATCAATAGACTGCCCTATTAAAAACTTGTTCATGTAAGCATAAATTCTTGAAGGAAGGGAGGGGGCATAAAACTAAAACCCAGATATATAATACTCAAACATATATAATACTGAAAAAGTACTAAAATACTAAATGACAGAGTGCACAAATAAGAAAACATGCAAAATTATTTTTATAAATATACATTGTTTTGTACTAACAATTAAAAATAACAGAATAAAATCTTGCATTCCCTACCATCTAATTAAGAAAGAGAAGTAAACTGAACTTAACTACATTTAGTATTTCAATATGAGACACTGTTAAGTTCTCTTAGATAAGAACATGCATTACAAATAAGAACATTTAGTTAAGAGTCAATATAGAATGCTCTGTCACTTTATTTTGAGAGAAAGAGCTTTGCATATTGACTCTAATTAAAGGTCCTTGCTTAGGTTTTATTAGAGATTCCAAATCATTTAAGTTGTGTGTGATTCAGCATCTCCTACAACATCTATATTTTTTCCTGAACTTCCTATGAGTGGCATCTTTTGCACTGTCCTGCAATGCATTTTACTCTTTTACTTTCAGAAAATTGCTGTGTTTCTAATTTTATAATGCATTTTACAAACAGCTTAAAATTATAAACCTGACATATGAATTCCTTCACCTTTTGCTTAAACTTCTAACATAATTTGCCACTGCTTTTGAACTTGAATGATCAAGTTTGTAAAAAAAAAACTCTTTTACATTCTTGAAATACATGCCATGGAAATGGTAGCTTGTGTCATTAATTCTTGGAACTGCCTATCAAGTTTCAAGATATGTTGTAATACTTGGTAACACACTGTTTGCTTTTTTTTGAGGATATGACGAAAGTCAGGCAGCAGCTGGCTATTGGCTCACATTCATTTCTATTGTTGTGAACATTAGGAGACTTGTCTGAAAATCTGTGACTGCATCTTATTGTAAACTAAGCTCACACCAGTTCATTGGGAGTATTGTTTCTCAGTTCATATCCAGAGGTATAAGCGCTAAACCATCTTTGGGAACTTTTGATATTCTGTGAAATCCGAGTCGATTCCAAAATTGAGTCACGGCGTATGAAAAGAGCATGTACGGTTAGTTTAAAGGAAAGAAAAAGTATGCAAGGTGGTGAATATGAAAATATGAGTGAGATGCTTAATTTTTGGTTCAAACAGCAAAGAGAACGCCTATTTCAGGATCAATTTTATGACAGGAAGCCCTAAAATTTTATGATGAATTTCAAGAAGGCGACCTTGGATTTACTGCTAGTGTTGGTTAACTCAACGAATAGAAAAAGTGGTATGGCATCAGACAATTAAAAATTTGTGGGGAACAGCTATCTGCTAACTTGGAAAATGCTACAATATTCAAAGACAACTTCCACAAACTAATTGAAAAGGAGGGTATATCTGGAGAGACAATTTATAACTGTGATGAAACCAGTCTGAATTTTGAATGCTACCCTGGCATCCAGGGAAGAAAAATCAGCTCCTGACTATGAAAGAAGTAAAGAGAGAGTCAAACTCTCAGCTTGCAGCAACGCAACAGGCAGCATAAGCTCAAACTAATGCTTATAGGCAAATAAAAAAAAAAATAAGCAGGCGTTTAAAAAAAAGTATACTAATGAGACCGAAGCCAACTATGATCTTCCTGTTTGGTACCGAAATTAGTGAAACGTACGGATGAATGGAACAGTATTTAATGATTGGTTTCATCAGCAGTTCATTCCATCAGTAGAAAAGTTTTTAAAATAAAAAAATCTACTAAGGTAGGCGACAAAGGCACAAGAGATATGTTTCTCCCTCCTAATGTAACTTCACTGTGTCAGCCGATGGACCAGAATGTTTTGGAGGCATCAAAGAAAAAATAGAGACGTAAACTTCTTTCATCTTTTGTCCTAGGAGTAAAGGGTGTTTTATATGATCGAGAAACTTAAGAAAATATATATATTGGATGGATAGCATGTTCTTGAAGTGAAATTGAGTAGATAAGCCTCGTTCGTTCCTGAAAAAAGTTGCTGGTCCACCGAGGAACGAATTTCACGAAAGTGGAGAAGAGAAAGGATATTGTGAAATAAATGACTTACTTAAGATAATTAGACTGTGAAGAAGTTTCTGATGGTGATGTTGAAGAAGATGAAAACCATGGTGAAATTTTAGGACACGCAGAAATAGTTGCACAGCTAAAAGTCAATGTGAATAAAAATGAAGATGAATTAAAAAAAGAAGAGATTGAAGACAACACAAAAGCTAAAATAATGACCCATATTGAAGGACTGAAAAAATGCTCCATTACATGGAAGAACAAAGTGCATCTATCGTTTTGATGACAGAGAAAGCGACAGAGCAACAAAACTTCGTCCTGTAAGTGACAGAGTAACAAAATATCCTTTGTTCGTGGTTGTTTGTTACTCTGTTGCTTACAGGACGAAGCTGACGACGATGGAATGAGTGTGAGAAACAACAATCTACCACCCCATGATATTTTTATACCAAGAAATACTAATAATTTTTCTTCCAAGAAATACTAATAATGTAAGCTTTTTTAATAAATTATCTTAGGGTATTTGTTCTTTTAATGACTCCTATTGTGCTAGAACTTTACTTAAAGAAATCAACATTAATTTAATTGTATGCTGTATTTTTCCATGTCCAATATTGTGCTACAAATGTCTAGAGTAATTTACAGTTAAATATTAAGAGTTCTGAAAAACCTACCCTTATTCCGCAAAACTCAATTTTTCGGATACTCGACAGACACTTAGTCCACATTATGTTGAGATTTTGGGACTCTACTATATTAATTTAACTTTTAAGCTTTCAAAATTTTAAGTTTTTACATCATCCTATTTCTATTTTTCATGGAAAAATCATTAAGAATTATATATTTGATGAAATTAAATTTGGGAATTTAAAATCCGAAAACCTGGCCTTATTATATTTTCTCATTTAATGGCTTATAGAAAATAAAAATTCAAATATGGAGGAGTACCAAAACCATTTGAATGCACCTTTAATTATGCCAATCTTTATTATTTGTTCAATAAAGAATTAAAACTCAACTTAAGAGACGATAAAGTTTGGCAAGTTTTCACTTAAAAGGATGGGTAATCTGAATGGATTTCCAACCCTCTTTTAGCTGCCAATGTAAACTACTGCTGTTTTGAAACCTTTCCTTTGGAAGCTGCCTTTGTTAATTTTCAGATAAAAGACTAGTAAATACAAAGGAATTTTCTTTTCTACTGTCTCTTTTTCCTAAACTAGGGAAACTAATGAAGTTCAAATTTTATAGCTGAAGTAATTGTTGAATGGTGGCATATTAACTTTGACAAACACTGCTTTATAATGAAAATGTCTCCATAGCAAATACCTTCTAGGTACACCTAAAATCAGCTCATACGCTAATCAGTTTTTGTTTGTTTTCAAACTGAATGTAGCTCAGAATTACATGTATCGATTAACAATTTCAACTTAGGCTTGAAAATAATGCTGACCACTTGTTTCTTGCATAAGTTGGCAATTCGTACAAAGTTTTTTGCAAAAATTGTGTAACAGCTTATATTTATATATCAAACATATCCCCTTGAATTTTTGTGATATTGGCTTCTTTTCCCTTTTTTTTATTAGTATTCTTATTTAGTTTTTATTATTATTATTAATTGTTCCCTCCCATTCTATTTTAAGTATTTCATTTTTCAACTACATCACTGTTCCTTGCTCCTTCTTGCATTTTTGTGATAATAGCTTTTTTCCTTTAGTGTTTTTTTTTAACATTTTCTTTTTGTTAAAAACAGACTTTGTTTATTATATTTTCATTATATTGTATTTCATTCTGTATATTTCAGACAGCAATATTAAATACAAAATTACAATAAAAAATGTAAAATATAAAGAAAAAATGAATTTTTGATAACACTGAAAATTTAGTGAAATGAATGCTAATATATCATAAAATTTCAAGTGGATTTATTAAACTTTGTTTATTTATTCATATAGACCCATCAGATGTGGAGTGGTAAAACTGATGAACTCTGATAGCTGGGTTCTGTTCACATTTCAGTGAATTAGCTGGCTGAAAGTGTGCTCATGTGTAACGTGAATACCAAACAATTCTCCTTAAAAAGTCCTCCAGGAAGCCCCTTTTCCCTTGGGCATATAGCCCTCTGCGTCTAGGTTGTAATCTAAATATTCTGATTTTTATTTATGTTTTTCATATGAAGACTGGATTTGTAATTAACAGGTAGGTATCCTGTCAAAATACAGATGGTTACTTCTTCACTAAACACAGGTAACTTCTACAGCAATTTAGCATGTATTTTCATTATGCAAAGGAATAAGAGGAATACTGAGCTTACAAATGTTATTAAAATAGTATTTCTCATAATTAATTCATGATGGCAATTTCATTCTTAATTTAAATAAACAAGAGACTTATGCTGAAAAGGAATTCAATCTAACAGTAAAATACGAAATGAGATAAATTAGATAATATAGATAAAATTAGATAATACAGTCAAAAGTCTTTAAACTTTCGTCGGGACTTCGGTGATTCCAGATTATAGATCACCAGTTTAAATCTGGTAAGTTGGCATACAGAAATTATAAAATTTAAAATATGAAACCATAATTTATGAAATAAAGAGCAATTATGATCTAAAGGGTATTAAAATTAATAAAAAAAAATAAAAATAAAAAAAGCTTTAAAGCTTTATATTTATTTGTTAACTTTATTAGACATTTCTTTCAATGCGCGCATGCGTAAAGCATACATTACACATAGTCGAAATTAGAAAATTGCAACCAGAAAACTATTTGATGTGTATTCGTGATATTTATAATGACGAGGAATTTGACTTAAATCAGATCAGAGTACATTGAAATGATATATTTAGTAAGGAATTATAATCCGAATAAAATAAAATCTACCCTGAAGATAAGGATAGTGCTGACAGATCAACTTCTAGTTCATTGCGTGCCACGTCATCCACCCACCCACCGCAGAGCAGCG